GGATCACTGCAAGTTTGATCTAGTAGTGAAATCCTGAGAAAAACTGCAGACCCTTCCCTAAAAATAAAAAAAAAAAAAAAACAAGCCAAAAAAAAAAAAAAAACCCCAAAGTTCAAAAATGAATTAACTTCTCACTGAAATGCACTTATTAAATTATTTTGAGGAATATTTCCTTTGTGAATTTTTTGGTAACATTTATTCCAAGGCTTACATTTATTCCATACCTTTAACTTTGAAGTGGAATCTTGAGCACTTGATATTCAGCTAGTGGGTTTATTCTTTTACATCTATTTTATTTATTTATTTATTTTTGGTGGAACCGGGGATTGAACTCCGACCCTTGCGCTTGCCAGGGAAGTGCTTATTCTACTGAGCCATCTCCCTGGCCCATAATATTTCCTTTATATTCTCAGAGTATAAAAGGAGAGCAGAATAGACACCCTCTACTACTGATTACTGGAATATTCAATTTTCAAGCCAAAGCAAGTTTTTGCTTGTTTTTAACATAAGAAACCATCAAGTGGCTCATGATTAAAAGAGGGATAAGGAGATGAGAAATTTCTGAACTTTAGCAGCTTTACTTTCCCTTGTGGTTTCATAACAATTTGGGAGTTAATTTCACAAAAAGTCAGAAAGCAGCTTTCACTCTATCCACGGGGCTACGGCATACTGGATTCCTGCAGAAACTGGGTCAAGGAGGCTGCTTGACTACAGTTAACCGAAGGGAGCAGAAAGGGTTCCCTCTTGTAAGATATCCTGTTTTGGGTTGTCTACTTAGTTAAACTATTTGTAAGGCAAGAGGCTTCCATCAAATGCAAGGCCCCACAACAAGTACAATAAAAAAAAATTTAAAATACAGGCTTTGAACTGGGAAGGTCTAACACTATCACACAAGCCCCAGTTGGCTCAGTAAGTGATACAGCCACCTTACTGTAGGAATAGCATACAGAAGAAGTAGTTCTGATGAGGTAAGAAAAGGGCCAGGAACGATCCCAATCTAGAATGTGGGGGAAGAGTCATGTACCAAATGGTATCTCTTAAGGGGCAGCATGGTGGAAAAGTCTTTGCTAGCTTTACCTGCAGTAAGATTTCATAACAGAGGATGTAATTCACATTTAAACTAGTTCTGCTGGCACTTGACAATGCCTACAAGATTAATAGATATCTGGGTACAGATTCATAAAGCAATAGACTTTCCTCTCTCCACCTTTCAATTCAGTGTAATTTGCTTTCAAAAACCATCATTAAGAAACATGGACACACAATCTATTAGGATAAATTCTATTTAATAGAATTGATACTCTAAGAACACTAAGAAGGTAAATGTAATACCCAAGAAAGCAAGTCACAGAATCTTACGGAAATAATGTGTCTGTAGGGATTCTTTCTCTTATATTTAGTTTCAAAGTAACAGGGTTCTGACTATAGCCCCAGCTACTCAGATTACAATATTCTTGATAAAAGTAGATAATCCACTCCAGAAGCAGCTTTGGCAGTAAAAGGATAAACAGCAATTAAGAGATGTGACTACAGAATATTTACAATTTCA